CCCAAAAACATTGACGTAAATCATGAAAAAAACTTCTTTTTTTTTTATCACTTGTAATTAGCTTCAGCATCGCTATTTAAAGCTGAGAGGGAATAAGTAGAGAGAATGGGGTGAAGAAAAGGAGGCACTACACGGTGCAACATGCTCTCAACCAATCAAAGGTCCGAGTTTTTACACCAAATATGTCATTTTAGTCTGTGTTGCAGCTCTAATTGAGAAAATAAGTGCTTTGCTCTGTTTTTATTTATGGATACTTATTTGTAGGTGAAATAGAAACTGGAAATCATGAGGTCAGTGTTCCCTAAAGAGGGAACCTCTGTGACTTACCCAAGTAAAAGGGCAAACTGATGAGTTGTTTTTTTCTCTTATTATATATGAAGCTTTAATAAAAAGATATAACGAGCTTGAAAATAAATTTTAAAAAAACCATAAAATCTATGTCGCTTACTCATCTTCACAGGTGACAAAACCACATTTTATGAAGCTCAGGCTGTGATGATCTTCGTTCAGGGAAATGGCAACCCTGATTTGGTTGATTATTTTTCTTTTTAAGCCTCAGGGTGATATTTATGTTTTAATCAATTTTCTTCACAAAGTGAAATTTTCAACATAGAAAGTGCATTGTAAAGTAATATACCGGCTGACACATACGCGCAATAGAATATGACACAGAACGGTGCTTTGGTTAAAATAAAACAGTAAAAAAAAAAATGCATTAATTCAATAAAGACTATAAAGTGCCATGCAACAAAACAGCGGTCTTGTCACAAAATAAATAACAGTGCAGAAAATATACAATAGCTTGAAATAAACAAAGACATACCAAAATGCCAGGCAAGGACAAAAGTTATCTCTCCTTATAGTGAATTATTTTCGCCTTAGTTGAGCCAATGAATCCAGTTTTCACAAAATTATTCAATGAGACCAACACAGGAAGAACGTCCCCTCGCCCTTTCAGGTACCTTCTCATGCTACTTTTGAGCTAAAATAACGAGGAACAGTAGTTTGTTTTTCCTCTTTGCCATCTGATGTTTCTGCAGTGAAGAATTTCATGCTGCATCAAGCAGATCCAAACTGAGGTATTTTACAGTATATGTATGACGTATATGAAGCTATCATCCCCACACTGTACACAGGTCTACACAGAGAAGAATTCAGGTTGATGCTTTCCTTTTGCCTTTCTGATGCAGTAAGTGGTAAATGTCTGGTTTACTACAAGTACCTATTTTTAGTAATGATAAAAGAGGAACTGGTCACATATCTTTTTACAGGAAACGGGGTAGTCTTACGGATAACCTATTCCTACGAGTACACTGAAACTACTCAGAACAAGCCCCAAACGTCCATCAGAAAAACAAAGTTAATAATCAGGTTCGCGTTGTTAGTTTTCCTTGTAAACTCTTCTAAAGGTCAAAAGGGAGCATATCATGCAAGGCTGGAGGAGGCGACTGCAAAAACAGACCAAGGTCGGGTTCTCGACAGAGTAATCGAGTTATTCTTGAGACAGGGCTGGTCATCGTATCTATGGAGACATTTGCTATCAGGTTTGTGTTTATTAGAGGAGAACGCTGACGCGAGCTTTTGAGATTGTTTGTTCTTTTGCTGTTTGTTGTTCCTCGAGGCTGGTTCACCTGTTAGATCCGCTGAGCAGCCGGGAGCGACTGGACTGACTTTCTCCTGGAGAGCTTGGACCTAAAGGAAGAAAGAAAGCAGAGTGGCACCTTATGTGTATCATGTTGGCAAATTACATAAAGGAATATTTTTACTGGTTAATGTCCAATGAGTTCAAGGAAATGTTTATATGTTTTAATAAAAATTACAAAAATTTTAGTACTGACTAAAATGGACTTACAATAACTTTCCATTAATTAAGGTAAATAAGGCAAAATAAGCTACATACATTTTTTTTTTCCATAAATCCTTTGTGTATAGCTTTGAGTTTAGGAGCTAGAAAGAAAACCCAAACAGATTCTCTTTCTAGCTCACTTTCATGGATAACAAGAGGACCAAGAGGGACATGCAGACATGCCACAGGCTGGAGACTCATAAAGCCCATCGGTTTTTTTGGGGGTTTTTTTCCTAATAGATCCAGGTTGCGCTAACATCAGCACTGTCTGGTGGATGTTGTTCCATAAACAGAAAGCTACTCATTTCGCTAATTTATGGTATGAATCTGTTGCTTAAAATAAATTTGACAGAAACAACGAGAAGCAGAAAGTTATTTAAAAGGAAACTGGATGCCAGGCTGTGAAAAAGTGAGAGAAAGCTAGACATTCAGCAGATAACAAGAGTGTTAAGTACAGCAAAGTTACTCCGATTGCACAGTCATTCTCAAAACTATGCTGGTTTTGAAAATGCTGGCAGCCATTTAGAAATCTCAGATTAAGATGAAGGTAAGAGCTACATTCTTTCAAGAATATACAAACATAAACATCTGTTTTTAAAATGATAACTATTTTAACTGTACTGAGCTCACTAATCACCACCAGAAGATGCTAAAAGATAGTTTAGCATGGTAATATATTTATAGTTTTAATATAATAGTAAAAGTCTATTGTACAGTAATTAATTAATTAAATAATAATCACCAGTCAAGATAAGGAGGCTTGAAGAGACTATTTCCCATTTTGTATTTATATTCAAGGTCTTGGAAAACATTTTTAAACAAGGCAAAATAAGTATAATCAGATCAAATCAAACCAAAATGATCTTATTGGTGCAATTCTAGAATTTTTAGAGTGATATACAGGAATCCTTTCAAAGAAACTGATAAAACTTGCCAGATGGCTTAAGATATAACTTAACTCTAGCACCACCACCTACCTGATGGTACCAGCTAGCAGAGGGTTAAAGGCGTACAGCCAGTCATGCATCTCTTTGTCGTTGGCGGCCTGCAGCAGTATCCCACGATGCTCAGTGCACACCGCAAACGTGTTAGGGGTCTGCAGACGTAACATACGTGGTCAGTGGTTACTTAAGTTCATCTTCTGTAACAGCTAATCTCTGTTGCCGAAGAAACGTTGACGCATACCCGGAGTAATGTCTGTTTATCTTCACTGTATTCCACTTTAGCTGAGGACAGGTTGATGACAGCCCTCTCCACGTTGTCCCTCTCGCTGCGGTACAGGTAGACGTAGGGTCTGCGCACGACCACATAGCGCCTCACCCAGCCGCTGCTGTGGGGCTCCAAGAAATGCAGGTAGCCCTTCTTTGACACGATGGGGCTGGATGGACAAAGAAGAAAATCAGCATGTTTTCATAAAATGTGCTCACTGTTTTAATAAACGCAATTTGAATATTTTCCACAGTGACACAGAATTGAAACCTGATTGTTTTGCCCACCTGACGCGAATCTCTTGTATGTCAGGAACAAAGGTGTATCCTCTCAGAGCTTTCTTTCTGTCCACTGGGCTGAACGGGTCCAGGTCCGGTGTCGATGCTCCTGAGCTCGGTTCGGTGAGCCTGCACGAACAGCAGGTTGAAAACCTAGCCTAGCACCTCTAGATCGTTTTAAGATCAGTCGTAGCATATTTTAGTCTAGAATAACTGAATTCTTTCAAACATCCAAAATAAATCATATGAAAAACCACATTTACAAAAATAGATCATTTTATTAAATAAACCAACACTGAAACTAAACTTCTTCATTCCAAAGGGTTGAAAAACTGGATTTTACTTACCGGATGTCAAAATGGCCATCGACCAATGAGGGGCAAGTAGAGGAGGGAGTCAGTGTGCTCAGGCCAGAGGAGGACGAGTCCCTCATGAGTGACGCAGACATTTCTGAAAGCTGAAAATCGGCCACACACACACACATACACACACACACGCACACACACGAGGGAAAACAAGGAATCGCAACAAAAGGAGGGACAAATGCAGATAGAGACAAAACATATCAGCAAACATTTAAACAAGGACAACAGAGACATGCATTCAGAGAACATCTAGATCAGTATTTTTTTGTCGCTCTTTATAATGTACATAAGAACCACCACTGGAATGTGAATCTGTATATCTAAGAGCCCCGTCTTGTAAGAATGCAGCTTTGTCACATTAGTGTGTTAGTGGAGACCTCAGAGTGTGTAAAGAGGGAGTTTATTTATGGATGAAGTTAGGGGAACAGACAAGGGGATGAATTAGAAAAAAAGTCATGAAGACATGGTTTTATGAAACCATATTTAATCTTCAAATCTGACTCGTTTGCTGTGAGGAGATTTCTGATCTGCACATTCAAGCACCTTTAACATCCCAAGACCCTAATGGCACTGTTCCAATGGACTGCCTCGTTTATTCAAGTAAGCTGCAGATGTGGTTTGGCTAATGACAAAGTTAATCACAACCACATGCAAAGCGCCTTGGTGTAAAAGTTCAGGATAAAGGTTTCGCTTGAACTGCTGCTGGAAATGCGTTGCCTTTATTTATTCGTTTGTTTTGTTTGTTTTCTGATGGTGATGAGCGCAAAGCACATGGGTGTGGTAAGAATCCTGACCAAAAATAATAACTATAATTCACAATTAAACAAACCACACTGGCTTGATAAAACTGGTCACAGCAGAAGTCCAGTAATTTAACCGGGACGTCTCACATTAGTAACTTATGTTGTAAAACATGAGTTACTCAGTCTGGCTCCTTTCTCTGCTAGACGCAAATAAAATGTTATAAAATGTTCCTTTAGGAGAGGTAAGTATATTAACTGTAGCTAAGTCAAGTGTTAAAATAAAATAAAAAATCGCTAAATATCTCTCTAAAAGCAAGTGTGAACGATGGATGCAAACACATTAGCTGATAGTGATTAGACACCAACAGTTTTTAAAGTTTAAATATTTAGTAAAGATCAAACTAATGGGTCAGGTTAGAGGGCCTAGGCTGGGGCTCACCTTGCTTTCACTGGCACTGCTGCTCACCTGGCTGTACTCTCTGTTGAACGTGTGCATCAGCAGGCGCAGACACTGCGCAAAAGACAGTAAAAAACGGCATTCGATAAGCAACGGGATGCACAAAGACCGGAGCAAAACAGGGGGCAAACATTAAGCTTTAGCAGTCACCTTAGCAGCTAGCTCCCTCTGCCTCTGGTTGGGGCTGTCAGGAGCGGGGCTGCTGCTCGGACTGCTGCTGAGGACGGGGCTCTTTGCAAAGTCACAAATGTCGCCGCTCTTGTAAAGCGCGTCCTGCCCTGCCTGCAGAGTTGCCTCGAGCTTTTCCCTCAGCAGGAGGTAATGCCTGGTTTTCTCCACCTAAAACCAAAACAAACAAACAAAGAAAAAACAGCTAATTGCAGGTGAATTTATACAGTATTTAAAAAAAGTTTACTTGTAATCAACTGCTATTAACATATTAAAAAAAAGCATTCTTTCAATATCTAAACCTAGCTGCTGGATTCATGTTCAGTTTGCGTTTTTTCTTTTTTTTTTAACTAGTTCTTTATGAATATATTTAGTTGCACAATATATCAGGAAAGATAAATACGGAAAGTGTACCTTTAATGAAATGTCACAATCATGTTAAAATCCTGTAATTATTAAATATGAAATATAATAAGATGAGTGGGGTGTTCGACTGAGGATATTGCCACCAAAAATATTAGTTACTAAATTTGCATATGTAGCAAAATACTCCCTCTTTCAAATAAAATGTGCCCAATTTGTATAATTTTCTACTTCTAATTCAGCTTTTCAGTACAAGCTATGTACCACAGACTGATGTTAAACAGTCATAGAGTGTTGGAAAATACTAAATGTAATGGGATTAAAGAAATGTTAGACATTTCCCATTTTTCTTTTTTTAAATTTTCTTATTGTGTGTTAAAACGGACCTCCTGCAGTAAGCTGAGCTTCTCCAGCTCCCACTGGTGGTCAAGGATGAGGCTGTCGCTGCGGGGTCTCCAACCCGCCAGGTTCTCCTCTCCTCGCACGTAGGCCACAGAGGTGTCAAGGACACGCCTGCGACGACGCTGCATTCCTGACAAAGGGAATTGACAGAGAAGAGGATTTCAGTACTAAAAATGTTTTAAAAAAGTATATAAATCATATGAAAAATATATATTTTTTCTTTTGCACGGATAACTTTCTTAATTTAATCTTTCATCACCTGGACTTCCGTTGTCTGCAACGTGGCAGAGAGTGACCTCATAAACTCCAGTGACACGATTACTGAGAAGGGGGGGGAAAAAAAAAAAAAAGTCAGCATTTAAGACGTGATTCCCAGACGCCGTTTATGAGACCATCAGGTAACCTGGACCGGTTATCCGTGGATACGTACCTCTCTGAGGGCCTGAGGCAGCCGGTGCTGAAGAAGTTCCTGATGGATCGGGAGGCTGGAAGCTTTGTGTCACGGGAGTAAAACACCACGCAGAAATCTTTGGTGATAACTGTCGGCTGAGTGCAGTTCTCCATCTGGAGGGGTAGGATAATTAATGAAAAAAATTAATGGGAACAAAAAAAGTAGTCAGTAATAAAGAAATGCTGCTAGCAAGTGCTGCTAGTGAAGTTATTAGTGATAGCACTAATACCTGCAGTAAGAAAAATGGGTAACACTTTATTTGAAAGGGAGTGAATAAGACTGACATGACACTGTCATAAACATGACATAACTCCTGTCATGAACATGAATAAGCCTTCATGAATATTTATGACTGTTGTCATAAAACGTCATTTGGTAAATTATGACACTTTTAATACAAAGTTGACATTATTCAAAATGTCTTTGTTATGACAACTTGAAATTAACCAATAAATCATTACTGGTATAAATTTGTTATAAAAGTATTACTGATTGCACTTTAAAAATTAGGTAACTTTATGTTATTAAAGGTAAAGTTTAAACAGTATTATAAATATAAATATAAATATTCATGAAGGCTTATTCATGTTCATGACAGGTGTTATGTTTATGAAAGTGTCATGAAAGTCTTATTCACCCCCCTTCAAATAAAGTGTTACCGAAAAATGCTTTACCATAATGCTTTTTTGGAAAAAATTTAGTCCATCCTTGTAAAAGTTAGTCAGGTATACACTATATTTTGTGTTCTTTATGAAGAGCAGAACGGTCAAAAATGTAGAATTAATATTCTGCCCAAAAATTGATGCTTATCAAAAACTGCTACCAAACTTTGTGAGTGTTGATTCTCTATATTTTAGTGAACGAAAGTCAAAATAACGACAAAATAACGACAAACACATTACTATAACTTTAATAATCTACAAATTGATTGATCAACAGTGAGAATAATTGTTAATTTTATGTTTTAATAAAAATATTTGACTGTATTATGCACTTTAGTTTAAAATGTTTGAGTGATGCTTCAATATTTTAACAAAAGGTGATAATACAGAAATAAAGAGTCCATGCCTCATAAAAACCAGCCAACTAAGCCTATTACATTTTCTGAATAGTTCATAAAATGTAACTGTAATGCTGCTATTGTACCTCCAGATAAGCTGAGAGAGTGATGTAGATCTTCTCTCCGTATGGAGTGACTCTGTTCAGCAGCAGAGAGTTGTGCATGGAGCTGTCCCATGCCGCCTCGAATCGATAGAAGGTCCTGCAGTAAGAAAAAAATTAAACATGTAACTTACTGCTACTTTAAACAACAATGCAATCTAATGTCAGCATATTTTGTTATCAAAAGGAATACTTAAAAAAAAAAACCGTAAAAAAACATATAATTATACCTATGATCAACGCCCAATGAAACGCTGCCGTTAAAGAAAAAAAGAGAAAATAAAAACTGTTTAGTTGCAGCTGTTAAGAGATAAAACTCAGCAAATTTGGCAAATCAGCAAAAGCCAAATTGTTTATAACAAAGCACAGTGTTATGCTGTCAAAGAAAAAGAATAAAAAGCAGCCCATTTGTGTTGAATAAATGTGTAGTTGAATATTAAAATACCAAAGACGAAATAAAAACATCAATTGTTTTGAGAGGGAGGGGGTGGGGGGGAACCAAAGTCATACTTGTCATCATGTTTTGGCCAGAAGTATCCAGAGGAGAGAATGTTGAGGGACAGGATGTTGGGGTCAATGATGGTCTCGTCAGCCTCTGGTGTGTTTCGAATGCGACCTGAAATGACGTGTCAAGATGAGACTCTTTGCCTTTAAACTTGTTTTTTTTTTTTTTCTGATTTGTTCATTTAAGCCTTTTTAGATAAACTAATTTGAGCCGAGACGCTTCTCACCGATAACAAGCTCCTTCACCTCCTTCCACTCGAAATCATTTCCTGTTTCATGAGCAATGGTAACTCTGATCCTTCTCTGTATGCCCTGTGGAGTCAAACAAAGACAGAAGGTTGTCTCAGTTTGAGAGTCAACTTATATCTGCAAAAACATGCATTTTTGAAGGTGGAAAATATAAAGAAATTTATAGAAACTGATCAAACCTGGTGTAAAAGGAAAGTCCCATGGCACGGCATGCCGCCTCTGTGGTCAACGACAGCTGGGATGTAGCTGGAAACGGAACAAAATCGACAAAATACATCTGAACAGTTGCATTTACCAGTGAACGATGCATTTTCTAGCTAATTCTTTATTTGACTTAAATTTCAGTGCTCAAGAGGCAGCATAAATAAACAGGACTCACTCTCCATTAGCCTCCAGCTCACAGATCTCAAAGAAGACCATGAGGTCATATTTGGCATGACAAGGTCCAGCAGTGGAGCGAGTCAGCGTGCTGAGCTTTGTGGCTGGCACTGAAAGAAGAAAAAATAACCTCTTAACTAATAGCTGGTTTGAAACCTCCAATGGCCGACTGCAGCAAAACCAACAGGGCACAAATCGGCATTTATAACTTGCGGTTACTACACTGTTACTACAGTTATTTTGAGTAACTCACTTACTTTTAACATGAATAGGGGATGCTTCAAGTGCATTATTCTTTTTGTTGACTGACGACCAATTGTATTTTTTTGAAACAGAAAAAATATTGAAGAGCATAATGTAAAAAGGGTGAATTTTAACCTAAATGAATTCACTAAAATCTCATCAAATTATACAGAAAAATAAAACTCGTCCCCATCAATACCAAGAAAAAGATCTTTAAAAAGACAGGAAGTAAATTGGATCATATATTATGTTACTTGATACAATTTAATATTAGCTTTTTAGCGTGTTTAAACTGGTGTCAAATGTTGCTGGGTTGGATGTAAACTCATAATCACAGGCCTAAAAAACAGGTGTTTGATATGTTTGCCCAAGTTGTACAAGATCTGAGATTTTATGCTGCGTGTAAAATAACTCATAATTTAAAAAAAATTATATATATATATATGTTACTCCAGACAAATTAGTGTTATATTATATTCACTAATTTCTACTGACCTGGTTTGGATAATGGCATCACTCGTGGAAACTGCCTCCGGGAGGGTCTCAGAGGACTGAAAGAAACAAAAAGAGGAAGCGATCTATCAAACAAACTGGATTCTCGCAGCGATATCACATCATGATTTGAAACTGTAGAAGCAGATGTCAAATTCCCTCCAGACCTGATCAAATCTTTGCATAATGGAGGGAAAGGCTGTTTCTGATAGTGTCCGAACACCTCAAAGACGATGGGCTGAGTCTTGATGTACTCCAAGAATGACTTGGTCACTTCCACTTTAATCTAACAAAGAGAGGAAGTCAAATTCAAGTAGATCATTTCCAGAAGCACTAATAAGTCTCGTTTATGGGTCTTTGCATTGTTGGCTGCTTACATTTTGTACATGATAGAATCCGAGCGGAGGACCCCTGCCAGTGTTTTTCAATGGCTCAGTTGAAAAAGCTTCATCGTGACGATGGATGAAGCTGAAAAAGTGAAATCACACACAGTTATATGTGTCATCAGTCATTAAAAACGGGAATTCATAGCGGTTTTAGGAAAACACCCATTGAAGCCACCGTTAAACTCACTTAAACTGGCAGAAAATGTCGGCATATTCTGCTGAGATGCTGGAGGCCTGAAGGACGGTGACTCTGAAGGTGAAGGTGCTGCCGATCTTCAGGTGTGACAGAGCTTTTTCTGGAGACAGCTCCAGCGGAAGGTCCAGACCCAGGCCTAAACTCTTCACAGGGCTGCAAGGAGGCTCCTGAATGGCTGCATGGTGCACAGATGCATGTAATTAAAGTTCAAGAGGCCAGTCTTGAGTTTGACTCTAACAAAGATAGAAACACCAAAATGGTTTCACGCTATTAGCTATTTTATTGTTAACCTTAATAAAATACCTTTTGATATCTGACTTTGTCACATTGGGAGTCTGGTAAAAATGTTGACATCTGAACAAAGTTTAAAAATGACAAGCGAATGTGTTGCTAATCCGCTGACAGTGAAAGGATTTTGGACGGACAGCTCACCTGCACAGGTGTTGTTGTTAACCTCGTCCGCTGAGATTCCTATCTCGATGTTTTGTCCTTCTCCCTCCACGATTCTGAGCTCCTCTTGGGAGGTGTTGGAGTGTGACAAGCCTCCAGGACACGACTCACTCTGAAACTAAACCAAGGTAAAACTGATGCAGGTTTTTCCTTTCTTATATTTTGGACATTCAGCGGACAAAAGCGTGCAGTTTCAGTGATCGGATTTTCACTTCGAGAAATGGTTCTTTTTGAAGGGAAATCATCACAAATACCTTCTCAAATTGGTTGTCTTCAAAGGAGATCTTGGCGGTGCCTGACTGCCTCACTCCAGATCCATAATCAGGGGCCTCCTCGTCAGCTTCAAGACCAAAACACACCACAAGTTGAAAATCGTTTCAGAAACGTGTCGCTGATTTTGGCTTACTACAACTGTTCTGTGTACCTGATATGGCCTGCACAGCCACCCTGAGGAAACCTTTGACCTCTCCCTTCTCACTGACGATGGCCACGCGGTGCACCAGAGGCACCGGATACAGCAGGTTACTCAGGTACACGAAAGCCCTGAAGAGAGGAGTGAAGACAGATTTTTGGTTTCAGAAGTCTTTGAAGCAGAAACAAAAACGGTTATTCCGACAATCGATTCATCAGATTTAAAAAAATGGGCAAATTCATCATAGATTTTATTTAAAGACTTTTTTTTTTTGGTACGGTTTTGGCTTAATAACTGCTCTGAGTGTGTTTTTCCTTTTTACCAAGTGGGCTTCTTTGAGTCTGTATGCTCCAGTTAATATTTGATCTATCGCTAAATTAGTTGATGATTATTTCAATAATCAATTTATCATGATTAATTGGATTAATAATTTCAGCCCTAATAGAGTATAATCATTATCTGTAAGACAACTAACCTGCCAACCAGACGGAACCAGGGGAAGCGGTCGTAGAAGGGGTCCCCTCCGGTCAGGGCGTGGTCGCAGTCCTCCACAGTGCTGCTGGGCAGCTCTGCAGCTCGGTCATACATCTCTCTCATCAGGTCCAGCCTCTGCCTGCAGGGGGCGGCATAAATCACAAGAAATCAGCTTTTTGCTCAGTGATGTCACTTTGTGGCAAACATATTTTGTTAGATGAAAAAAGAACGGCTTTAACTTCAGGAGCACTTAATGTTAAAGAAGAAGAAATGAGGCGGGCGGGGGAGTTCCTGGCATAGAAATAATGATCAAACTATTCTGATTACTATGTTTTACTACCTGAGCTTTTCCAGAGTCCAGTAATGCGTGGCTCCATTCTTCTGATCCTGAACTTCAACGGCTACTATTGTTCGAGGGAAAGGTCGCCGCTCTCGCTCCTTAGCCACACTGGGAGGCAGCAGGTCAGGTGGGAGCGGAGAGTAAAGAGTGTCTGTCAGCAGGACGAACTGGAACTGCACCTGTGTACACACAACAAGATGAACTCACAATTCATATATTGTCAAATACATCTAGAAGCCCCGAGGAAATATTTGACCTCTCCCTTCTCACTGACGATGGAATAAATTAGCCCCCGAACTCAAACTCTGGCCATGGATGATGTGCAGGAAAATTTTACTTAAAACACTAAGAAGTAAAAAAAAAAAAAAAGTGAAAAAATATGGCACAGTTACACAAAATGATGAACAACAAACCTTTTTCTTTAGTTCCACACTAATAGCATTTGCCTCTTTGAGGAAGATGGCATTTCCCCAGAGCAGATCCCTGAGGGAGGTGAACTGGTAGAACCGCCACTTTCTGAAAGCCCAGAGTGCCAGTTCAGTTTCATGCTTCGTCCACGGCACTGTAGACAAATACAAAAAAGAACAAAACAAAAACAAGGGTCAACTTCGATCAAAAAACACCTGACCCTGGGGCGACTATGTTGTGAGTCTAGCTGTATCTAAAATCATCATCACCTTCCTCCTCAGGCTCCTCCTCTTCCTCAGGTGACTCCAGGTACCGAGAGTCTACTTGTTTCTGAAGGGCCTCCAGTTTACTCTCATAGTCCTAGAAGGCGCCATGAAATGTGTTTGATCATTTACCTTGTTAGAATACTGAACCCTCAAAGCAGAATCTGGAATCAAGACGAAAGTTCAGGTTTTTGTTGATCAGAGTTTTTTTACCCACCAGCCTCTGCTGCTCAAGCAGGTTGCTGGCTTCTTCTCTTTCTTTGCGGTATTGGTCTTCAAGCTCCTGAAGCCTTGAGGATTAAATTTCAGAGAGAGACTTATGAAATGAAATGTAAGGATATGCCACAAAGTACTGCACAAAACAAAACAATGTTGCAGCAACGGACGATCATTCAAACTCACCTCTGCTCCATCTCCTGCTTCATGTCAATGCCTTGCTTTTCGAGCAGCTCCCTCTGAGCGAAGGCCCAGTCCACGGGCTCCACCGGCGTCTCCGCACACGGCGTTCTCTCCCGCTCCAGGCGGGCCTGCTCCGGGTCGTTGAAGCGAAACACGTGGCTTTTACCCATGATGATGCGGTTCCCTTGGAAAAAAATAAAAAAAATCACATTAATGCGTTAAGTTTCAAACATCTAAAACAAATTTATTACTGTCTTCACAGGAACTGTAGGATTTCATCACTCAAAATGTTTAATACCACCAGCAATTTTCATTGAAATAAGGTAACAGAAATTACTTACTAGCTAGTAATTTTTACCGTATTTCCCCCTACTATAGAGCGCACCATGCTATCAGCCGCACCTACAAATTTTTTTTAAAAAACTGGAAACGTACATTTAAAAGCTGCACCGGGCTATAAGCCGTTGGTATCTCCACCGCTCTCGGTTTTCCATGAACACCCAGCAGAGGGCAGCAGAGGGCTGCGTCCTAATAAATCTGCTGGATTTAATAAGGACGGAGCCCTAGTCTCCAACGCCGAACCATGGTTTCGTTTCCCTCCTGTACTGCCAGATCGATAGCCTTCAACTTTAAAGCTGCATCATGTGAGTTTTGAAATCATTTCTCTGTCGTGCCTGCTGCTAGCATGTGTTTGTTCTAAATGAAAGTTAGCACTTTCCACAGAAAGGCCACATCGGGCTATAAGCCGCATGGTTCAAAGCATGGGGAAGTAGCGGCTTATAGTCCAAAAATTGTTTTGGCCATTTTTTTAATCACAATAATAACAATGGATTCTCACCAGATCGCAGAACAGTGGGCGAGGTCACTCTCTTCCCATTGACATATGTCTCTGACCCCTCACATGGCTCCAGGATGACGCATCCTGGTCCAGAAGACAATTAACATAATCCGTTTTACCACTTTAACAAAACAGTTGAAATATATATTTTGATTAAGCATTTTTGTACAGGGATATTAGGTTTTTACCTTCTCCCTGTGGGCCTGTTGTGCTGCTGAAGGTACAGTGCTCATCTTTAATGAAGTGGCCGCTAAGAACGATGTCTTGTCGAGTTTTGGCGTTTTCGCGACCAACCCTGAAGGAGGGTAAAGTCATTCAAAATGTGAAAACTGCTACAAACAGAGCTAATTCAATGTAAGAATGGGTATGCATGAAGTTTTACTTGGTAATGCCATCTTTGATGTAGTAGAGCAGACACTCAGACATTAGCGGATCCTCGTTGAGGTTCACCAGATGAGGGGTCTGCAACAGAGCCATGTTTGAGCATTAACAGATTTTATATGTTTTGTAAGATGTTTTCATTCCTCCTTTCTCTGTCCTCAGAGAAAGACCCAATAATGGCTTATTCTTAGTTTTCAAGAAAAAATAACTCTTTCAGAGGTTTATTGCATGGTCACAAAATACGGAATTATAAATGGGACATGTCTGTGGTTTTGGTTAAAGTATTCAATCAACATTTTAATTTCTAAAAACCTAAATTTTCTGACAATTATTTTTAAATTAGGATTTAAAAGCTAACCCTGTAACATCAAAACCATTATTTTTAAGCATACAAGTATTTCTGTGATTTTTACCACTTTAATAGTTAGTGTTTTCCTTTAATAAGAAAAATACTTAAGATATTAATTACATATAAAATGAATATAATTTTCTTGCCTGCTAAATAAAAATACTCAAATGAAATGAAATGATTTTTCTTTGTGCGAGATTATTCTCCTGCAAAATGAAAATGAAATTAAAAGTTTTTTAACACTGTTTTACACAGTTGCCATTAAGTACAAAGGGCCAATGCAGTATTTATATGCTGCATTTAGATTTTATTAGTTACCTTTGACAAATATCTTACCTTCTTGGGAGAAAAGACACCAACAGTTCCCCCATCTTCTCTCATAGCAACACCCATCTCAGCCAGCAGAGCCTCTCTGCAGCAAGCAAACAAATTTTAAACTATTAAAATGAGTTTCAAACAGTACATCAATACATCTATTACAGAGGCTTGTTGGGTGTTGAGTAAGATATTTTCATTCTACAAATATTAACCTTTCAACTTCTGCTGCATAAAGCCGAAAATGTACATAAGAAAATGTAACAAATACAGAAATACAATAAACAAAGGGACATTTATTTGCTATTATCATTTTCCAGTGAACGATTAAATGATTACAAGAATCTGAGATCAATGACAAACTCAGTATTATGACCTGGTATTTTTCTACTCATTATAGATACGGTAAAATTACAGCTGCAGAAGAGGAATCAGTCGTTATCCAGGTGACTCGTCATAAACTGAAGGAGTGTGCAGACCTAAACATTAACAAAATGATTTATGAATTCTGTCCTAAGGTAATGTGAACATTTGTAACATCTATAAGGAGAGTCAATGGAAAATGAGAATAACTCATAGAAGTATTATGGGATGACTGAGAACCGGGGACGGGGTGGGGAAATAAGATTACAGCTCATATTTCAGACAAACCTCTCCATGCGAATCGCCTCAGTACGACGCAGCTTCTCTTCCCAAGTCTCATTAAGCTCTGCAATGATTTTCTCTGTTTCCTGAATGTGAAAGAAAAACGATTTACTATAAAAAAATAGTCTAAACGGACATAATTCCAACTCTTATTTTATTTTAGTTTTATTTTCAACCCATTTACCTTGAGCCTTTCGATCGCCTCCTCACTGGCCGGGCTGAAGATGCGGTCGTGAAGGTTGCTGATGGAGGCGGCCCGGCTGGTCAGGGCAGAGAGCGAGGGGGAGGGACTCATTCCTGTCATGGCGTTGGTCACTGTGGAGAGATCACCCCTTTGATTGACAGCCTGGCGATTGTTCACAAAGTTCTGATAATTGCACAGATCTGTCAGAGAGAAGAGGCGGTGCATGGAAGAGCGCGAGGAAAAGAAACAAACAAGAACGGGACAGAAGGTGGGAGCGAGTGCCAGATGTTTGAGGAACGAGGGGGACACGTAGAGACAAAATAAGGGACCAGTAGGAAGGAGTACAGAAACAAAAGAGAGAGAAGAGCTCAAATAACTGACCCAAGAAGCAAAGCTGTTTTGCTTATCAAAGCCGTTCCAGACAGTGAGAAAAGATCAACTCAGAAACAAAAGTATAAAATGTCAAGAGAAACTGAATGAGAGGAGAAACAGAATGTACACAGCCGACAAGCTGACAAGCACCGACAAACATAAACATAAACCACACAGTCATATATTTTCAATGCATACAGACCAAATGCATGTGATATACATATATAAACCAAAAATTGTTTGTTTAAGCTTTTCACTGAAGCTTTTCTACAGCATGGCTCCTGAATTTGCAAGCTTCTTCACTAGTAAGATCTCCACGGGATGCAGATCTGGTCATCCAACACGTCACCTTTCCATTCGGTGAAAAATGATGGCCATTTTACGCTGCAGCACTCTTGGTTAGTATCTACTACTGTGAACACCTACTAGGACACACTGAAATCTCAAAAGCTGAGGATGAGCTGATCTCCAAATGTTAATCATTTAACATAAAAAAAAATAAAAATAATGAACTTAAGTTTGTCATTTTGGTTTTGTTGGAATTTAGACTGACAGAGGAAAGCTGTCAGAAAATGATTGACCATACTAAGAGATTTGATTACTTAGATACAGTTTTTCACATTTCGTCAAGTTAAAATCATTAACTGTGATGTATTTTGGGAGATTTTTATGTAATAGACCAACACAAGGTTGTGCATAATTCTGAAGTGCAAAAAAAATTGATTAAGTATCAGAAAAGAATAGTGAGCCTTTGATTTTTGATTTATTTTTTACATGATCTAATTATTTATTAGAATTAAAACTTCAATGTCATGCTTTCAGGGCATCTTTTTTTCTCTCTTTGTGCCTGTATTCAAAGTAACAGACAAGTTTAACCAAGAGGTGCCAAAGCATCGCATGCCTTAGTAAAGACATGCATAAATAGCTGGTCAGGGGTCAAGTTGCTCAGTGTTATGACATCTCCTATTGGGGAAAAAAAAATGAAAACCTGTATAATGACGGGGGCGGGGCTTAGTGGGGTGAAATGGAGGCCATTTTGAGGCAAAATTTCTGAGAACAAACGTTACAACAACAAGATGTCAATTTTCCAGATGCTCTGAATAAACTTTATTTGTTTGGTGTCTTGTGTGACGTCACAAATGCTTTCTTGGGATTGTAAGTTTTGCCTCTGGAGTGGAAGAATAGGAAACTTTAAAAGAAAAAAAAATGTCTTTTAGATGCAAAGCGCAGGCTTGCTAAAGTTAAACACACATTTCAAACCAGTGATGGCAGGAACGGTGCCTCGATACGCTGACAGGACAGAGGAGAAGAGAGACTGTGTGTCAAAAACGGCCACGTTCCAACTTAATCCCCCGGTGTTCGGTGGATAGAGGGAGACAAAAGCCCCGCACAGAGGCGCCCGGCTCAAAGTACGCGCATTTTCTATAATCGGATTCGAGTGTTTCCGTGTGTGAGACTCACTCTCGATGATGTCTCCCAGGCCCTGAGCATACAGCAGGTCTTTGAGGCGAGCAACCTCCTCTTTCAGCTCGCGGACCAGGCGGTTGTTGGGATCCTCGTTGATCACGGCGTTGCAGCGGATCTGTTTGGCTCGATCAGCATACCTGACAGAGCAGACGCCGTCAGCACCACTGAACTTTGCTCAACTTAGACCTGAGCTATGGATCGCATCTACGGCAACAGTTAGTCAGAAATTCTGAACAGATGAAAAGTAGAGCTACAACTTTAATTTCAGGAAAATCAGGTTTAGGTTTGGGTTGCAACTTTGTTATCAATCAAAATGAGGTTCTGTCGTGTTTTCCTCACCGAAGAGTACTTAGAGTTTCATCATAGTTAATATCTGCAGGACTGAGAGCGGCCACCATGGCTGTGCGAGAGTTTCCTCCTGAAGCAAAAAATATTATGAAATTGTATTAACACAGAAAATGAGTGCACTCCGACAAAAACGAATTAAGGAATGTTTTTGTCTGCATACCTAAGTTCTCCCTCAGGAGCCAAGTCAGAACTGAATCTCTGTAAGGAATAAAACTCTCCACTTTCTTCTTTTTCTTGTTCTGTTTAGAAAGCAAAATATTTGTTGCGGTTTACNACAANGAATAACTTGATTTTTTACTTCATTACGAAACACATTTTAGTGAAACGACAAACCTTGTTTGGAGCCGAGTCCTATGAATTTAAAGGGAAATATAAGTCACTCTTATTTGAACAACAGAAAACAATAAACCAGCCACAAAATGTTAGCATCATGTGGGAATCTCACCAGTTCAGCTAAAGCAGAAATGACTTTTCCAAGTGTGGTAAGAGATTTGTTTATGTTTGCACCTTCCTACAAAAAAAACACACACAAACAAGAATAAGCATTTTAGACACTGGAAGTACTTTCTGTAATTTCTTCCAAGCAACGTCCTGCATAACAAAAATCGTTATTAAGAACAACATCCTCCCACCTTCAGTCGCGTCCCTTTAGCTCCAGTTGAATCAGCTCTCTCACTGCCGGCCAAGTCTACCAGACTTATCTTGCTGACCTATCAAATAATCAAAAACAATCAAAAGACAATTAAAAATGTGCAAAGTTGGAAGAAAACTGATCATCATACATGGATGATCCCTGTGGTATCCATCAGGGATTAGTACTACATGCAAAGTTATTTGTTAAATACCAAAATGATGTTTGCAATGTGACATATTGCTTATTAAAGTTTACACTGTTTGTAAATGACAACATTTTTGTTGTCGCTTGTTTGGGGGAATTCAATGGATTGTCTGGATACAACTTTAGAAGTGCACAAAAATTAAAGAGATACCATTCATCGATATACATTTTTTGTTGGTGTAATTATTGCAAAATAATCTGGAAATATTGTACAACCATAAAATGTGTACAAAATAAAGTTTCGAGAACCACTGCAGCACTATGAAATACACACATTTGTACATTTGTTGACTGATTGATTGTTTTTGCAGTGGTTTCTGGCTGACATTAATGCATTTATATTTAGATGAGTTGCAGCGCACGGTCATATTTTGGGTCTAGACCTTTTCTGAAGTGTTGTCTGTCTCCATGTCATGCTTTTTCTGTGTGAAGATGATGTTGAAGACAGCATGAGAGCGACTGCTGGTCTCATTCATGTTGGTGGCAGCCACAGTCCTGAAAAAGGGAGATTGCTGTTGGTAATTCTGTCACTTTCATGGATCCGTCAGCTGCTTAGCGCCAAACGTGGTGACAACTGGCAACGACTCGGCCTCCAAGTCGTTACCTGGCCTTGTTTCCAGAATCCATCAGGTCCTGAATGTCATTGTACGAAGTCACAGCCAACTTAGACAGATCTTCAACGTACGGTCCCAACAGGGGGTGCTCTCGCACACGCAGGTTTCCTTTGTTCTTGGGGTTCAGCAGGTCGCGCACACGCTCACAGTAAATCTCCATGTAGCTTACCTAAGAGCAGAGGAAAGGAGAAATGACGAAATGCAGTTACTTGTTCTTGACAAATCACACAAGTAATTTAGCAATATATTTCACTTTTCTCCCCTTGAATGAATCTAAAAGAAAATACTCATAGACACACCCTGTGTATAAGAGCATTGGCGCAATAGTTTGGTTTCATTTCCGCCGGTTTGCTTCATTAAAACTAAAGTGTAACGGTTTAAAAACTGGCTGTCTGGTAATTAATAAATAAAAGGAATGTATTAAGGATTTGGCATCACTCACCTCCACAGAGTAAGACATGCTGTTGTCATTATTGCTGTCATTGATCTTGGTGAAAAGGTCCTCACACAGCTAGAAGACAGAGAAGCAAAGTGAGTCGGTACAAAGCTCCTATAAGTTTCCAAGGCCCAATCAAATGACAGAGCTGAAGCCCAATTATCGTGCTTTACCACCCATGAACCTGTGTTGTATAATCAGCCATAAATGTACTCCTCGTTACCAGAGGTATAATCCCCTGCTGGTCTTTTTCCTGTCGTCCCATCATGGTGTAGCTTTTGCCAGCTCCTGTCTGTCCGTATGCAAATATGCACACGTTGTAGCCTTCAAAGGCGTGGAGCAGCATCTCCTCTCCGATGTCCTTGTACACCTGCATCTGAGACGCATAGTTGATGTCCTCAGGCTGCCGACAAAATGGAGACAGAGGAAATCAAGAAAGCAGACAAGTCAAAAAAGCTGTTATTTTTTTTCTTTTTTTTTGACTGATATGTTTTCATTTCACTGCTGCAGATGGAAACAGTGAAATAACTCACCGTAGTGTGTGACCAGTATGAGAAGTCAAAGTTGAAGCTCTTGTTTTCTTTTGGCTGTTTTGGGTTCAGGATAGCTAGAAAAAAAAAAAAAGAAACAGCAAAGCAGCTTAGTAAGAAGCATGCAGATAGGCTTAAGTTTCTTTCATTTATCAAATGTTTTACTTTATATAAGCAGTATGATGAAAAAAGCTAAATTAATTCAAATAAAACTGATTATAAATCTATTCCAAATAAAACAAACCAGTTCTCTTTCACAATTGATGTGCTCTAACCTCTATCAATCCAGGTCTATTTTATCCATAGTTCACCACTCAAAGGTTAATAAAGAAGGAAAAAATATCAAATTTGCCATAAAAAAAACAAGTTTATTTCTATCACACAAAACTGCAAAAGCAAAATTTATGAGTTTTATCTGCGTTGTAATTAAAATATGAATTTAAGTTGTTGGTTCTCTATTTGTTAAGCAATGAAATGTCAAGGAGAGACAGCATGTTCACTTCATTTTGTGAGAACGGAGAACTGCAGGGTGAATCATGAACTGAGGTGCTCTTTTGTCGGTGAACTGAATCCACTGTAACACACTATGGGGAAGCTTAATATAGCACAAACACTGCCCCCAAAAACTGTGCACTCAGCTGAAAGAAACACAATGCTGATGATAAAACGTTAGGGAGGACATGGCTGTAAGCAGCACTTGTATTATAAAAAGGGCACATTTCGGAGTTAGGTGTAGTGAGCATCAGAATCGTCTGGCTAAAGCGTCCAAAATGCCACAAAAGGCTGAGGCTCTCCTTCTTTCACACACACACATTTTAGATCGGCTGATTGTTGACCGGACCAAAACAACAAGGCCTCCCCCCACACCCCCAATCCTGGCAGCATGCATGATGAGAGCAGAGAAATGTTGCATCCTACACACACACACACACACACACACACACACACAGTGTTGCACCTCAGGACTGACTGAAGCTTTTGTTTGTTTCTGCAGCTGCCAAGATGGTGCCAACCTCGCTGCCCTGTGATATGTAGCTGCAGCGCAGAGCTGCCTACAAGACAAATAGCTGAGGTGAAATGCCTGACTGAGCGCAATGTAGGTCAGAGGAATATCATCAAGTCAGCAAGAGAGCGTCACCAAATGTCTCGGATTTTGTGAACTGAAGCCATTAGTGATATCACACTTACATAGGGTTATATTTCTGAATCACCCAATCTGTAAGTATTCACATTACTAGATAGGGGTGGGTTTTTTTTGTTTTTGTTTTTTTTTCCTTATTTTACTTTCTGGTTACAATTAAATGCTTTATGTCATCCAACAAATTAAAATTTCAAATAAAGATTTAGATCAGAGTGTGACATGTTGATTTTTGAGATTTTTCAGACTACTTTGCGTTTTCAGGCGTTTTCTTTGTAGGTGACTTCTTGAGTGTTCAGGTCTGACATTAATCAGGCTTGGGTGTGACTAGTGAAAATAAAATAAACTTTTGNTCGGTGGATAGAGGGAGACAAAAGCCCCGCACAGAGGCGCCCGGCTCAAAGTACGCGCATTTTCTATAATCGGATTCGAGTGTTTCCGTGTGTGAGACTCACTCTCGATGATGTCTCCCAGGCCCTGAGCATACAGCAGGTCTTTGAGGCGAGCAACCTCCTCTTTCAGCTCGCGGACCAGGCGGTTGTTGGGATCCTCGTTGATCACGGCGTTGCAGCGGATCTGTTTGGCTCGATCAGCATACCTGACAGAGCAGACGCCGTCAGCACCACTGAACTTTGCTCAACTTAGACCTGAGCTATGGATCGCATCTACGGCAACAGTTAGTCAGAAATTCTGAACAGATGAAAAGTAGAGCTACAACTTTAATTTCAGGAAAATCAGGTTTAGGTTTGGGTTGCAACTTTGTTATCAATCAAAATGAGGTTCTGTCGTGTTTTCCTCACCGAAGAGTACTTAGAGTTTCATCATAGTTAATATCTGCAGGACTGAGAGCGGCCACCATGGCTGTGCGAGAGTTTCCTCCTGAAGCAAAAAATATTATGAAATTGTATTAACACAGAAAATGAGTGCACTCCGACAAAAACGAATTAAGGAATGTTTTTGTCTGCATACCTAAGTTCTCCCTCAGGAGCCAAGTCAGAACTGAATCTCTGTAAGGAATAAAACTCTCCACTTTCTTCTTTTTCTTGTTCTGTTTAGAAAGCAAAATATTTGTTGCGGTTTACTACAAGGAATAACTTGATTTTTTACTTCATTACGAAACACATTTTAGTGAAACGACAAACCTTGTTTGGAGCCGAGTCCTATGAATTTAAAGGGAAATATAAGTCACTCTTATTTGAACAACAGAAAACAATAAACCAGCCACAAAATGTTAGCATCATGTGGGAATCTCACCAGTTCAGCTAAAGCAGAAATGACTTTTCCAAGTGTGGTAAGAGATTTGTTTATGTTTGCACCTTCCTACAAAAAAAACACACACAAACAAGAATAAGCATTTTAGACACTGGAAGTACTTTCTGTAATTTCTTCCAAGCAACGTCCTGCATAACAAAAATCGTTATTAAGAACAACATCCTCCCACCTTCAGTCGCGTCCCTTTAGCTCCAGTTGAATCAGCTCTCTCACTGCCGGCCAAGTCTACCAGACTTATCTTGCTGACCTATCAAATAATCAAAAACAATCAAAAGACAATTAAAAATGTGCAAAGTTGGAAGAAAACTGATCATCATACATGGATGATCCCTGTGGTATCCATCAGGGATTAGTACTACATGCAAAGTTATTTGTTAAATACCAAAATGATGTTTGCAATGTGACATATTGCTTATTAAAGTTTACACTGTTTGTAAATGACAACATTTTTGTTGTCGCTTGTTTGGGGGAATTCAATGGATTGTCTGGATACAACTTTAGAAGTGCACAAAAATTAAAGAGATACCATTCATCGATATACATTTTTTGTTGGTGTAATTATTGCAAAATAATCTGGAAATATTGTACAACCATAAAATGTGTACAAAATAAAGTTTCGAGAACCACTGCAGCACTATGAAATACACACATTTGTACATTTGTTGACTGATTGATTGTTTTTGCAGTGGTTTCTGGCTGACATTAATGCATTTATATTTAGATGAGTTGCAGCGCACGGTCATATTTTGGGTCTAGACCTTTTCTGAAGTGTTGTCTGTCTCCATGTCATGCTTTTTCTGTGTGAAGATGATGTTGAAGACAGCATGAGAGCGACTGCTGGTCTCATTCATGTTGGTGGCAGCCACAGTCCTGAAAAAGGGAGATTGCTGTTGGTAATTCTGTCACTTTCATGGATCCGTCAGCTGCTTAGCGCCAAACGTGGTGACAACTGGCAACGACTCGGCCTCCAAGTCGTTACCTGGCCTTGTTTCCAGAATCCATCAGGTCCTGAATGTCATTGTACGAAGTCACAGCCAACTTAGACAGATCTTCAACGTACGGTCCCAACAGGGGGTGCTCTCGCACACGCAGGTTTCCTTTGTTCTTGGGGTTCAGCAGGTCGCGCACACGCTCACAGTAAATCTCCATGTAGCTTACCTAAGAGCAGAGGAAAGGAGAAATGACGAAATGCAGTTACTTGTTCTTGACAAATCACACAAGTAATTTAGCAATATATTTCACTTTTCTCCCCTTGAATGAATCTAAAAGAAAATACTCATAGACACACCCTGTGTATAAGAGCATTGGCGCAATAGTTTGGTTTCATTTCCGCCGGTTTGCTTCATTAAAACTAAAGTGTAACGGTTTAAAAACTGGCTGTCTGGTAATTAATAAATAAAAGGAATGTATTAAGGATTTGGCATCACTCACCTCCACAGAGTAAGACATGCTGTTGTCATTATTGCTGTCATTGATCTTGGTGAAAAGGTCCTCACACAGCTAGAAGACAGAGAAGCAAAGTGAGTCGGTACAAAGCTCCTATAAGTTTCCAAGGCCCAATCAAATGACAGAGCTGAAGCCCAATTATCGTGCTTTACCACCCATGAACCTGTGTTGTATAATCAGCCATAAATGTACTCCTCGTTACCAGAGGTATAATCCCCTGCTGGTCTTTTTCCTGTCGTCCCATCATGGTGTAGCTTTTGCCAGCTCCTGTCTGTCCGTATGCAAATATGCACACGTTGTAGCCTTCAAAGGCGTGGAGCAGCATCTCCTCTCCGATGTCCTTGTACACCTGCATCTGAGACGCATAGTTGATGTCCTCAGGCTGCCGACAAAATGGAGACAGAGGAAATCAAGAAAGCAGACAAGTCAAAAAAGCTGTTATTTTTTTTCTTTTTTTTTGACTGATATGTTTTCATTTCACTGCTGCAGATGGAAACAGTGAAATAACTCACCGTAGTGTGTGACCAGTATGAGAAGTCAAAGTTGAAGCTCTTGTTTTCTTTTGGCTGTTTTGGGTTCAGGATAGCTAGAAAAAAAAAAAAAGAAACAGCAAAGCAGCTTAGTAAGAAGCATGCAGATAGGCTTAAGTTTCTTTCATTTATCAAATGTTTTACTTTATATAAGCAGTATGATGAAAAAAGCTAAATTAATTCAAATAAAACTGATTATAAATCTATTCCAAATAAAACAAACCAGTTCTCTTTCACAATTGATGTGCTCTAACCTCTATCAATCCAGGTCTATTTTATCCATAGTTCACCACTCAAAGGTTAATAAAGAAGGAAAAAATATCAAATTTGCCATAAAAAAAACAAGTTTATTTCTATCACACAAAACTGCAAAAGCAAAATTTATGAGTTTTATCTGCGTTGTAATTAAAATATGAATTTAAGTTGTTGGTTCTCTATTTGTTAAGCAATGAAATGTCAAGGAGAGACAGCATGTTCACTTCATTTTGTGAGAACGGAGAACTGCAGGGTGAATCATGAACTGAGGTGCTCTTTTGTCGGTGAACTGAATCCACTGTAACACACTATGGGGAAGCTTAATATAGCACAAACACTGCCCCCAAAAACTGTGCACTCAGCTGAAAGAAACACAATGCTGATGATAAAACGTTAGGGAGGACATGGCTGTAAGCAGCACTTGTATTATAAAAAGGGCACATTTCGGAGTTAGGTGTAGTGAGCATCAGAATCGTCTGGCTAAAGCGTCCAAAATGCCACAAAAGGCTGAGGCTCTCCTTCTTTCACACACACACATTTTAGATCGGCTGATTGTTGACCGGACCAAAACAACAAGGCCTCCCCCCACACCCCCAATCCTGGCAGCATGCATGATGAGAGCAGAGAAATGTTGCATCCTACACACACACACACACACACACACACACACACAGTGTTGCACCTCAGGACTGACTGAAGCTTTTGTTTGTTTCTGCAGCTGCCAAGATGGTGCCAACCTCGCTGCCCTGTGATATGTAGCTGCAGCGCAGAGCTGCCTACAAGACAAATAGCTGAGGTGAAATGCCTGACTGAGCGCAATGTAGGTCAGAGGAATATCATCAAGTCAGCAAGAGAGCGTCACCAAATGTCTCGGATTTTGTGAACTGAAGCCATTAGTGATATCACACTTACATAGGGTTATATTTCTGAATCACCCAATCTGTAAGTATTCACATTACTAGATAGGGGTGGGTTTTTTTTGTTTTTGTTTTTTTTTCCTTATTTTACTTTCTGGTTACAATTAAATGCTTTATGTCATCCAACAAATTAAAATTTCAAATAAAGATTTAGATCAGAGTGTGACATGTTGATTTTTGAGATTTTTCAGACTACTTTGCGTTTTCAGGCGTTTTCTTTGTAGGTGACTTCTTGAGTGTTCAGGTCTGACATTAATCAGGCTTGGGTGTGACTAGTGAAAATAAAATAAACTTTTGAATGTTTTTTGATATTTTTGCATGAATACCAATTTGTCTAAGGTAAAAATCATTATGGTATGGACAAAGTGGTAACCGAAGACCAGGTCAAAGATTGCGATCCAGTTTGTTGGGTTAGAGAAAAAACTAAAAGGAGCTTCATAATTCCTCACAAGATGCCATTTTGAATCAGAAATCACTAATCTTCTTCCACAGAGACAAAATAGGTAATAATGAGATGGAATAAGATATTTCTCTTAAAAGCTTTAGTCTGCTACCTGATAACCAGTTAACTTTAACTTAGGTTTCACGTGCTGAGTCAAAACGTTAACTCAACTGTTTTGATAAATTAATCCTGGTTCGGTCAATTTTTGAACCAGCAACTATATTTAGTTTGCTGGGTTTTCTTTCCAGTTCAGCAATTATTAAAGTATACAAGTTACTGGGAATAATTATTATCCTCCATCTTCCATTGATGCTAAAATAAATTATACAGATCAGCTAAATTAAACTGAAACACGCAGAAATGTACTTTTTATTGAAAAGTCTTCATATCAAATGACGTTATACTTACTCGTGGTGTTCCCTGACATCTGAATGATGCATTTGCTCTCCTTTCCAATCTCCCTGGAGTTAAAGGGTCGGACCCTCACCGCCACCTTCACCGAAGCCCCCGCCATCTTTCCGGTGGGCTTGTGTGTGTATGTGTGTGTGTCAACGGAAGAGCTGGAGATCTGTTTGGCTATAGACACACACCAGGCACCTGCACAGGTACAAAATAACAGGAACGGTGTTATTTCTGGAAAATATTCATATCAAGCTGTTAAAAAAAATATTAACAGATGGTTAGGATTGAATTGCATAAGTGAGAAGAGGGCTCTGTTAGCCACAAATTGCTAACTGACACATGAGTCTCCACTGTTAGGCAGTCAGATAATCCCCACTGGGACAGAAATGCACAGCTTCTAAATCACTCTGTCTAAATGGCTGGGTCATTATTTGGCAGGGAGCTCGACGACACCATCTCTGCTATAGTACAATAAAATGGCTGCTTCTTTGGGCTACATCCCCACCGAGACTCAGGCCCTTGTTATGAAACTGTACCATTAAAAATGGTTTCACGTCCCAAAATACATCCTTATCACTACCTTATCTTTGACTATTATCATTCTATTATCCATTTTTGAGGCCTCCTTCTCCCCCCCCATTACAATAAATGTTGAACAATATATTTTAAGCTATCGTCAGCCGATGAAAAATTAAAACAAAAAAGGTTACCAAAAAAACTATAGGACGCTATATTGTGACATATCTGATATTTTTGAGAGCACTGTATATTAGAAAAATGAGAAAATCTGTCCATGTAAATATCGTCTCCTCCATCTTGCTTTGCCGCACCTCAGAGACAGGCCGCGTAAACATGGACAGACACCAAATCATCCGGCACTGCGTCAGAAAGGAGGTCACATCATTACAGTAATGGCACATGTTTATTATATTTTTTTTATTGTTAATCTAATATGAGTTGATGTCATCTTTATATTGGCGTTAATCGTTTAAAAGGCCAACCATCCTGACGCAGCATCTCGTATATAAAAAAGCTCGCGAAATCGTCAACATTCACAAAACACAGAAGTGGGGAAAAAAAATAAAAAATACCATCACGATGAGCTCTAATAACAAATATAAAGCTATAATGAGGACGGTGGTTTTACCTCAGCAACTTCGACTCGACAGAAACACACAGGATGAATCCATTCAAAAAGGCTCCTCCGGTGGCTCTTTCTTGAATTTCGTCTGTGGTCTGCGTTTTCTCTCGGTCTTCGGTAACCTACAGCATCACTTCCCTCAGCGCATCCATACATGGAGAATCCGCCGGGGAAACGGGGAGAGGGGAGTCTGCCTCAGCCTCAGCAGCAGCGGCGGTGCCGGGTGGGCTGAACACAGCGGTGCGTCAGACACAGAGACAGGAGTGGGAGACGAGGGAGTCGAGGGGGGGGAGGAGGAAAACGCGGATCCAAACGCATAAACAGGAGGATGGAGTGCGCCGTCACTCCGTCGCTCTGATGGTGCTGAAAATGGCGGCGCAGCTGTGCCAGGGATGCTGGGAGGGGCTGATGAGATCAGCATCAGCATCATCAGCGAGCAAAGAGAGAGGTTGGGGGAATGAAGCGCCACAAATTACATTTCCAAATTACATTCCCTTCGCATGCAAAGCTGCTCCATCTCACCATGTATCAGTAGGTAGTTTTATTCGCCATTTGGAGGTTTTGTCTTTTGTTGTAAAAAAAAAAAAATAACTGGAGCTGCATTGCTACGAACAACCATTCATACCCCAACATATTCCTTTTTCACGTTTTTACATGTTTCAGATCATCAAACAAATTTAAATATCAGAGTAACTTAGCCTGATTAAATACAAAAAAAAATCTGTTTTAAAATTATGACCAAATCCAGAACAACCTAGCGCTGTGAGATTATTAACGTGCGTTCAAACTGTAACATAGTATCAGCTGCTATCAATAATTTTCTATAACTGATAAAGAGAAATTTTTGTCTTTGCAGAACTGTTTAGATTTCAGTCACATAGGAATATTTTGTTGAGCATGAACACTCTCTTTAAGTTCATGCAAGAGTGTCTCAATCGTATCACAGTCCAGACTTTGACAAGACAAAATCCTTTTGTTTCACTTAATTTCAGTCAAACATGTATGGACTGGCTGCATAACCGAAGTGCGCTTGAACTAAAGACCTCAAACTGATGTCCATTCTCTTTTAGGATTTTCTGGTAGAGAGCAAACTTCTATTCTACATTCATTTCAGAACAAAGGCTAAACAAGAACAAGGAGTTGCGACTATGTCAAGTAATTCAGGTAAATGCGCGTCCAGAGATTTGACCAAGAGATCGATCACAGATTCACTGATGCTAATGGAAAAATTGCGTGCGCCACAACTCGCACTGACGAGCGACATCTTTTAATGGAGGCATAGCGGATCGATATAATGCGTAAGCCACTATAGGTAAGTGGAAAATGTCATGATAAAGGATTTATCTGTCATTTGCGCAAATTAATAAATTTAAACTTATACATAACAATGGAAGTCAATGTCATAACGCGTGAATCTGACAGGGGATTGTCTTTTTTGATCCACGTCTTATCAATATTTATACAGAACAAACATGACTGGACTAAAAGTGGAATCTGCGTAGTATGCGTACAAAAGGTTGACTACTACAAATAACTTGTAACTGCCTGCGCACATTTCATCCTTATTTTATCTGTTATAAGGTATTTGTTAAGGTAATTTACTGTCCATTATATTGCAACAAGTGCATGTGGTACGAGGCTGTCGCTTTTTGTGGTTATCGCCTTAATTTAGCTTCATTTATGACTAACTTCCTGTTTTGAGTTTTAATGCTTTTATTTTTAAGGGACAACTTCCTGTTTAACTGTCATCATAAAGGTAGTTTAACGGCAATCTAAGAACAGAAGGTTGTAATGAAGTTTATAAAATGTGCCTTGATATTAGCAAACTCCCTTGATAATTGCCCTCGCTAAAATAATAGTAACACTGCCAATATGATTCAGTGATATTTTAATGCAGGCTGTAAACATAATAATAAACAAATAAAAGCTGTTTTATGATGTGAAAATACAGGAAACACACAATGAGAACAAAACAGAATGGTGTGACCTGTAAATATAACAATTTCACAACAATTGCTGACAAAGTTAAAAAGTACAAACCTTGTTTAAGTCAGAGTAATATTTGTGGGAAACTTAACTAGATGTAATCTCACCATAACTGATTTATATATTTCTAGAAAGCCGTTCTTCTCCTGAGTTCTTCAACATTAGTGAAGCTGTCTCTGAAGTATATCATCCAGAGAAAGCAGAAAAACTAATGTCACTTATTTATCTTCTGTGTAATTATTTACCCAGTCACCCAGACTTCTATACTAATATACAGTATTAAATTGACAGACTTGTTTTAATATTTCACTTAGATGGTGTGAAGTTTGGAACTGATGTCCAAACCGTTCAAATTTTAATAACTCTTACAACATAACGTCAGTAACGTTTCGGTTTAAGCATGCACAAACAAAAGTTTGAAATGAAAGTTGCTTCTGGATGACATCATGAAACACTTTTGTTGAAAATTTGTTTAAAGTGGAAATCATACAATCATTTTTAAATTTTGTACAGAGAATAAACATTTAAAAAAAAAAACAAGAACTTTGAGTGCCTTTGGCTGGGTGTTTATACCTTTATATGGGTTGGTGGGTGGATGCATTGGCCTGTCCCACTTCCTCAACCGAGACACCGGATTGGCTCTCTGAGAGGAGGCTCCTCTAAACATCACAGGCTGCTGTGACAGATGGAGCAGACAAAGTCAACAAATCACCTCAAACAAACCAACGTCAGCCAGTTCTAAGCTGCCAAATGCAGTACTTTGGTTTCAAGAGTTGCAGATCTAAACCAGAAATGTATCACCAAAACTAGTCCTGTGCATGCATGTGGGTCATGGACAGACATTCCTTACATAAAGACATCCATACACTCTATTGTATTAATCACAACAATAACCCAAGGCAGTGGCGTATTTTTGAAAACTATTTAGAAATGAGAAATCTGGAGAGGTGGCATACTTTTATGCTAAGCCTGTTTACTCCTAAATAAAAGTCAGCACAACAAACTGAAGTCAGGAGTCACCTTATTAAAATATGTAATTTATTTAATCAGTATACATACAGCTATTTTGTAAAAGAAAAAAAAAAGAAAGAAAAAAAGCCTGAGATGGTTTGTTAGAGAATCATAGTGATCAAACATCATAAACATCATACCAGAAAGACCAGGATTCAGGTTGTGAAGAATTTTAGAGTGGTTTGGAAAACAATATTCAAAGCTATAACTATATTAGAGCACTTTTCAAACTATCAACTAAAAACAGAAAGAGTCTGGCACACCAGCAAACCTGCAAAGACTTGGTCATCCACCAATAGAGAAGCATTTAAGAGGCTCATGGTAACTCTGGAGGAGCTGCAAAGATCCACAAGCAGGAGAATTTCCACCACAGTGGTGCAACCTACAAACCTGACCTTCATGAGGCAATGGCAAGAAGAAAGCCGTGGCTGTTGTCAAATGAAACCAAAATGTAACTCTCTGGTGTAGATGCAAAACACAATGTGTGTCAAAACACTGACACTGCACCCTTTCCACCAGGACACTGTGGAGTGATATAGATCAACACATGTTTCTCATTCAAGCACTACATCCAACTGAGGACCTTGGGTGTGACTTGACCCTGGGCTAGAATGTGCAGAAATATAAAATCCGTAGATTAGCAAAGTAGATGTACATTGTTGGAAACTTTAAGCTGTAAACCCTTCAAAAACATCTTTAAATTATTGATTACAACCCACCTTTTAGATATTTTTAAGTTAAAATATTTATTTACCCATGTTTCCTACTTCCATTTCACAAGAACAAGCTACTATCTTGTATTCTTTCATATAGAACTTCATGAAAAGATGCTGCACTGGTTATAAACTGAGATACTGTGCAAAAGTTCAAGGGGTGTAAATACGTTTGCTCTGTAAAAAGCTCAAACAATGTTATTTACCAAAACACTTACAACATAAACAGAAGGGTTCATGGAGCATCCCGTTCTCTTACTATAAGAGTTTGCTGTCGTACACTTTGTTGCGTAAAATGACGCACGCCCTTACCCACCAGGTCAAGGACCTGTCTGTTTTAAATGTTCACCCAAACTCACTTCCAAGCTCAGTCTCGGCATCTCTCATTGGTGACCTCCACCCCTGCAGGCTTCTCTGGTTCAGGACTCCGGCCGTTATGCAGCGGGCTTTGTTCGGCCGGAGCGCGTCGCTCGCTCAGCTGGCGGCAGCGGCTCTCGACGGTATACTCGCTGCTCGGAGCGCCCCGCTGCTGCAGCGTCTGGAGCGCTCAATGTCCTCCGTCTCTATCCCGCCGCCCGAATGCATGCTGCGACCGCTAGAAGTGCCCGTGCGTTACCTGTTCGGTCCGGGGCCTTCAAACGTTCCTCCACGTGTCTTAGCAGCAGGAAGCAAGCCTATAATTGGTCACCTGCATCCAGAAATGTATGAGGTAACTATTATGACAATCAGTAGGATTCAGTTATCTCAGATTTGGTTTGTCGCGAGGAAATGAGTTTCATTTGGGTTGCCTTTTGGTCTTTGATGATGCGGTTCCATTTTATTATTTTTCAGAGCTCTTTGATACAGTTTTGTTATTTGGAGAGATGTTGGCGGTTGTCGTCCTAGCTTTGATTATTGCCACTAAATTGCTAGAGTTTTCTTTTTAAATGAGCAAACCTTAGAGATATATAATATATAAGGTTTGTGCGTAATTACGCACCGTCTGTGAAGCGCACCCTCACTGCTACCGCAGATGAATATAGCCTTCTAGTTTCAATTACGTCGAAAAGCCCTTTTTCACGTTTTTTAAATTCGTGTCACAGATCATGAACGATATCAAAAAGGGCATCCAGTACGCCTTTCAGACAGAGAACAACATGACCATATCAATGAGCGGCTCCGGACACGCAGCCATGGAGTGCGCCGTGTTCAACGTTGTGGAGCCAGGGGAGAGCGTCCTCATTACCGTCAACGGGATTTGGGGAGAGCGCGTGGCTGAAATTGCTGAACGACTGGGTATGATGTTTATGTTTTATACATGGCTTTACGCACACACTTGATTGATCACTGTCGATAACCCCCCCCCCCCCCCCCCATCAACACTGAAACTGAAACTCAATTAAAATATATATAATATGTATTCTGAGATAACTGTTGTACTCCTTTATTTATGAAATTCTTTTTCGTTTGTTTGTTCTGACTTTAGGTGCCAATGTACACAGACTGGTAAAGGCACCAGGAGGATGTTACACCAATAAGGAAATCGAGCAGGTTTGGACTATGTCTTACAACTCTGACTATAACTGAACATCTGAATTGTTTTCTTCGAGGAGACTTGGGTTCATTGAAGAATAAGAATAAGAGAATAAGAAGAGTTGGGTGATTAAAACTCTTTGTGTTTTAGGCCATAGAAAAACACAA